GCATGAGCGAAAGGCCGGACATTGCCCGAGGCTTTGTAAAAGTAGCTAAAGAGGATGTGGTGGAATTTTGGGAAAGCGTTACAAGAATTAAAGTGGCACAATATCTAGTTCAATGGACGCCCTTAAAAAGAGGGAGCATACATTTATCATTTAAGCTAAATAGATCAGAACTGTCTCGTAGAAATCTCCTTTGTATATTAATGCAACAGTTGGCTGCAGCGCGTTCTTTCTCCTGAGACAAAAGTGCACCGGCCACTGAATCCATTATATTTTACTTAATTAAGGAAAAGCCTTTTCAAATACGATTAAACAATTTTTTTAATTTCACTGTTCACTTGCGATTTGTTTGTGTCAAAGCAGCTGATTAAGAACTTCGAATTTCACTATTTTAGTTGGCAGCAGCGTTGCCGTTTTGGTCCGATTGGACCAAAATTGGTAGGTTCATTCTCCTTTGGTAGCTTGGTTGGTTTGATGAACCTTTTGGTAGGCAAAATTTTTATGAAAAAACAACCAAATTGAGCATTAAAATTTGTTCGCTTAATTTACGTTTACACGTTCAAAACATTGCTTTTACTTTGCTCACACGTATAAGATTTCTTAGTTTTTTTCCTATATTTTATTAAGCAGACAATTTTCTGCAAACAAAAACTTACTTCACAAAGCTATGACCGATTGGCTGTTGAAACAACCAGAAATTACCTATAGTCTTGAAAGAAAAAATTATGATAGCCAATTTGCAAAGTGAAACGAATTTAGGATTTTTTGCATAAATGTGTGATTTTGTTTTTTCACACACAAAGAAAAGATGTTTGATATGAATGGAATTAATCTCAAAGGTATTTAAATTTTTTACAAAAGTTTATATACAATACGTCAATTCTTTTATTTATAGGCCCTGTTAACAATAATATGTGTAGTTTTAATTTTTGTAGTTAAAAGCCCCGTAAATTCAAGAAGTCTAGCTTTAATGATGAACAAAATTTTGGTAGTTTGGAAACTGATTTGGTAGGCATTTTGGTACTTAAAAATATTTTCAAGTGGCAACCCTGGTTGGCAGTGCCGTTGATAGTTACGATCGGATTACAGCATACCAATTTTCGAATTTTCGGAACGGAGCTACGAGTTCGTAACTACGAACTTTCGGATTACAGCATACGGGTGATAAATCCCCGATTGCAGCGTTGGTTAATACAACTAGGCGAATATGACGCCAGAATAGATTACATTAATGGAAAAGAAAACAAAATTGCAGACTTTCTTAGCAGAATAGACACTCACAAAAATGAGATAAATGCTATAAGTGAACAAAATGACATATTTTCAACAATGGCCACTGTTCACTCTCAAGAGGAGAACTCTAATGATCACATTCCGATATTGGAAACTATTGTTAATAGGTTTAATCCCAAATAATGTTGGTTGAACAAACAACAAAAGAGGTAGAACATATTTTGGGTAACAAGCGTATATATATTGACAAAAGTGACATACCCATGGGCGTAGCCAGGTAGGGGCAGGGGGGTGCTCGAGCCCCTCCCCCCCTAACTTTAGAATTTTCCTTATATATAAATATATATATATATAAAATAGTACCCTGAAATGCCAGCTTAATAGGATCGAGCGTCCCCCCTCCCCCCCCCTAAATTTCATTCTGGTTACGCCGATGGACATACCTAATAATATTGCTGGTATAGTCCGAAGACATATCGCAAATCAAAAAACTGCCATTTATTCAGAGTTAAGTGATTTTCTTTATAACAAAGTCCAACTTAAATTAATTGAACTATATGGAAATAATTGCAGTAGTAAATTTATTAAATGCTCTTACTTCGCAAAAGATATGGAAAACGAAGACCATGCAATTAAGCAAATTTCTCTTTATCACACAAAAGAATCTGGCCATGCTGGCATCACTGCAAACTACCCCAAAGTTTGAAACACCTAATATATTATCCAAATTTATTTTACCTTATACATAAATTGATTAATAGTTGCGACATATGTAGTGCAGCCAAATATGACCGCAAACCAATCAAAAAGAAATTGCGCACCACAGAAACACCGTCTAACATACATGAAATTGTACATGTAGACGAATATGTTAATTCAAGACATGCATTCATAATGTTTTTAGATAAATTCTCTAAATAGGCAGTGAGCTTATACTTGGAGGACAGAAACAGTATAACCTTAGTAGAGATATTACGTTTGTACTTATCCCTTTCTGGAAAAATAAACAAATTTGTTTTTGAAAACGAATTTAACAATACGAATGCTAAGCAATTCTGTAAAGAGCAGAATATTCAAATACATTTCACTAAACCTAATAGCCATACGGGTAACTCGGATGTAGAACGTCTCAACCAGAGCTGGGCGATAAGAATTACATATGTAATCGATTGCGTCTAGGATTACGATTACTTTTATCGCAATTTCAAAAATGTTTAAATTAGGATTGCGGTAATCGTTCATAGAAGGCACTAAGATTACGATTACAGTAATCGCAATTTTAACTTTTTTTAAATTACGATTACTGTAATCGTAATCTAAGTTCGTTCAATGAAGGATTACTGTAATCACAATCTTGTTTTTTTAGCTTGTTGGGATTACTGTAATCCTAATCGTTTAGTAATCGTAA